TTACAACTATAAAGATAATATATAATCGATTTAGGGCTTGATCCACAAAGTCCCCAGCGGAGTCGCCAAGCTGTCGACACCGTTTTCCGCCCGGGCGGGGGAAAACTTAGTACGACTTGGGGTTTTCTTTGAAAAGGTTTTGAAATGTTTTAGAGTCGCCATCGACCTTTTGGGTTAGGTAGGTCGAATACCTAAAAAATTTCTTTTAAAAGAATTTTTAAGAAAAATGTCATTTTAAAAGATACACTGATCCACGTGTAACCAGAAATTCATTTTTAAGCAATAATAAGGGTTCGGGGGTCAATTACGTGTGGGGAAGGATAAGCACCCCCACAACGCCCATAATTGGTACCCCATCGATTATAAATTGTCTCTAATAGTGAAAATCTAAGAATTTTAATATAAATTTAAGTTATGATCCTATTATTCCAGATTCAACCATACAATTTTTATTTACTGAAAAATTCTAAGGAGAAATAGAAAATATTCTAATATTTCCAATTGAAGAGAAAATAATCCCTAAAATACTGTAGGACGAATATTTCTCTTTCTAACTGAAATAAAAAGAATATAATAATTTCTCCCAAGAACTCAATATTAAAATAATGTGATTCAACCAAATTGAATAAAACTAAAATAAGCATATTCAAAAGTTTTATGTTTTTCTAAATAGAGATTTTATTTATTTTAAAATATCAGAATAGGACATCTAGTTACTTTAAGACCGTCTCTTCTTAATATTTTAAAATAAATAAATACTACCCTTAATCCAATTATGAAATCGATTAAGTTATGCTTATGAAGCTTTCATACATATTCCAAATATCTAGATCTATATACACAAACAAATTTTCATGGCAAAAGTTATAAATTAAAAATACTAATTAGGAACAAATAAATGAAAATTAAAGTAAAGATAAAAATTAAATGCTATTCAATGATGGAAATAAAATTGAACTAAATTAACAAGTGCATACTTTAAAGCATAAATATTACGTTAAATAAGCAAACAAAATATAATTACTAAAATGAACATTACAAAAATTAAAGTTCTAAATAATAAAGGTTAAATAATAAATACTAAAATGAACAATACAAATGTAAATAAAGAGAATAAAGTACTTAAGTTTAAAAAATAAAATTGTACATTCACCTAAATTATAAATAATAAAATATAAAACATATGCATCACTTAAAATACATACTACAAATTTTACATGCCAAATATAATGTATAATACATTACACCACAACTCGGGACTAAATTAGAATATTACAAATTATATGCCAAATGAGAAATAAAAAAAATGACTAAAATAAATAAATTACAAATATCACATCCAAATCATAATATAATAAAACAAAATCCAAACAGTGACTAAAATGAATAAACATAAAAAACAGTGACTAAATTCGAAAGTTAATAAAATCAATATGCATATTCAAAATAAATAACAAAATAAATTACCAGAGTGCAATAGAAGCTAAAATATGAGGGCTTAAGGATGCTTTTACCCTGATAGTGACCAAAATGCAAGATACGCTGAAATAGGGAGGACCTGGAATGCGATTTGACCCTGAAATAAATGAACAAAACAGAAAACCCCTAGAAATAGGGGACCTGATACGTGATTTAACCATTTTCCATACAAACATAATATTTTCCTCCTCCATTTACGTGAACCAGGCAGAAGCTTTCCAAAGCTTCAACGCTTCCCTTCGGCCGCCGCACGCCGGCCCCCACTCGCCGGCCACCAGGACGATGACCGACCTACAACCACGGCGACCTTTACCACGACCAATGGAAGCCCGAAAGACGGCTTAAACGGCCAAGAACCTCTCCCGTTATCCTCCTCTCCCATTCTTTCTCTACAACGCCGAGGGACGTAAAACCGACCCCCAACGCCGGCCACCAACAACCGAAGTTTCCTAGCCGTGAGAGGATCTCTCTCTCACGCCGGCCACCGCTCAACGGTGGCCACTCCCTCTGCCTGTGAACCCCTGAAACCGAAGCAAAAACCAAGTGAGAAAGCCAAAAAAGAAAGGAAAAGGAAAAGCAATATTGGAGAGAAAAAAGAGTCAAAGCAAACTGTCTTTCATTCCATATTTTCGGGGAAATGCTCCCTGATTTTACAAGGGTGGTTGGGGGTATTAATAACCCCATTTGAAACATTATAATATTAATTTTTTTACAAATAAAATAATATTGAAAAAAATGGTGTTTACAGTTAGTATCTTACTTTTAAGGCTGCTTCCCTATTTCCAGCTGGGGCAGTTGGACAGATAGTGGTTTCAACGTTAATAGCTTGTACTATCCCTCTATCTTGTAGTCTCTCTGAGATAGTAGCAGCTAATTACACTCCAGAGTAACCACAACCAACTACAGCCACATGGCTAAGAGAATCTTCAATGTTCTTAACTTCTTGTCAACCTTCTGCAGAACAAAGATAAAAATGTAAGGATTTAAAAGATATAATCCAGCAACAAACTAGAAGCTACTCCATCGAGATATTAATGGGGGTTAGCTGGAGGACTCTTACACATGCATCCTCTAGGGTGGAAAATGGTAATGCAAACTCCAAAGCACCTGGTACAACATCAACTTTGTTGTGGATAAATAATTAAAGACGAATAATATAAAATCTATAAGTTGTAAAGATTTATTTATAAACTTAAAATCATCCTTAAATTACAACTCATCTCTAAACCTTTTATTGTTATTATTTTATTCATTGATTTTTGCGGTGTTATTAGAATATTTAAAATTTTGAGATCAATTTAAAATAAAAGTAATAATTTGAAGATAATTTTGAAATGTTTAAGCATTTATAAATAAAAGTTCTAGTCTAAAATTAAAATTAAAATTAAAAAAAATTATAAATTAAAGATCAATTTTAAAATAAAAGTAATAAATTGAAGGGTTAACTACATGAAAAATTACTTACGTTTATGTTTTGTTCACTTTTGGTCACTAATTTCAAAAAAATATAAGATATGGTCAATTTTGTTTTTATTTAATTAAGATGTGGTCACCTCGAGTTAACTGTCGTTAACAACAGTTAAATATTTTGATATAATCACACACTTGATCCTGTTATTTACATATTCTCTCAATCTAGTTCTACTTTTAATAAATTAAAATAAATGTAATCCTATTTTACAACTCGAAGTTGACTTAGAATTTTTTGAGTCCAGTCGAGTCACATTTTCGAGTTTCTGTTTAAATTTAATTATAAATATTTATAATATTATGATATTATTTGATTCCAATTTAAATTATCATTTATAACCATATACAATATGTGTGTATTTCTTCATATTTTTTTCATATGTAATATACATTTATGATACAAATCAAGAGATTCAATTCAAACTTGAAAATCAATCCACTAATTACTAAACTTTTCGAGTTATTCGAGTTGTATTTTACAACTCGGTTTGAACTTCAAATATAACATCCTCAATACCGGGTTAGTGACTAAATTATAAAATTTCAAAATTTGGTGATTTGAAGTGGAAAAGTTGAATAGTTCAATGACTTATTTAAAAAAATATATGAAGGGTTATTGATAATTATTAAAAGAATAAAATGGTAAAATGGTCATTTAACAAGGAAATAATTAAATAATGGTTAGTGGATATTATAATACCCATGTGAATCATAATTGAGAAGATAAGTTTCCGGGTTATCTTCTTCAATTTCTTCTCTTCTTCCAACCGTGGAGCCTCATAGCCAAGGTGAGTTGATTTTCTTATGGTTAATTTCTGGAAATTTCAAGAGGGTTTTGATTCTTTAGGTGTTAATTAAGCTTAAGGAAAGCTTAATTTGTTTTAAAACAACAAGATGAAAGGTTTATGAGAGATTAAATATTTGGGTATTTTCTTGAATTTTTTACTGTTCATAAATACATTTTTTTACTTGAATTTTTATACTGAAACATAATTTAATAGAATATTGTGGTATTTTCTTAAAAAGAGTTCAAATGTTTTGATAATTTGCAAGAATATCGTTTTTAAAAGTGAATGTGACATCTCAGACTCGTATTCGGGTCGGGTACGGGTTGGGGTGTTACATCAAATTTTTCGAGTCGAATCGGGTTTATGAAATTACAACTCGAAGTTAATTAGAGTCAAGTTTTCAAGAGTCGAGTCGAAAAAATCGGTTCTTCAAGTCAAGTCCAATTTCGCTCACCATAATACCACGTGTCACCGTTCGGTTGGAGGATTAACTTTTATAAACTTGGCTTGACTAAAAAAAATTCAAGTACAACTGAGTTGTAAAATACAACTCGAAATTTTTAATAATTAGTAGATTGATTTTCAAGTTTGATTTGAGACTCTCGACTTTATATCATAAATGTATATCACATATGAACAAAATATGAATAAATACACATGTATTGTATATGGTTATGAAAGATCATTTAAATTAGAATCAAATAATATCATAATATTATAAATATTTATAATTAAATTTAAAATGAAACTCAAAAATTTGACTCGACTCGAAAAAAATTCAAAGTCAACTTCGAGTTGAAAAATAGGACTCGTCAACTCGAATAACTCAAATTTTTTTTTACTCGACTCAATTCGGTTCAATCGAACGCTCACCCTTACGTGGCATGACAAGTGACATCATTCGATTGAATGATTAAATTTATTTTTGATTTATTAAAAGTATAACTAAATTACGAAAATATATAAATAAAAATGATCAAACGTGTGATTATATTAAAATATTTAATTATTGTTAACGTCAATTAACTCGAGGTGATCACATCTTAATTAAATAAAAACGAAAGTGATCATATCTTAATTAAATAAAAATAAAAATAATCGTATTTAAAAAAACAAAATATAAATGTAATTGATTTTTCATGTAATTAACCCCAAATTAAAATATACAGTACAATTAACTCTACTTTTTCATAAATAAAAACTTTGAATAAAGAGAGATGAAAGACTGTCACGATCATAAGCGGTGAACCACCGCAAGAAAAGAAATTGTCTTGAAAGCAAAGCGAACTCCTTTCTCTCTCATCTCATTTCCATCCAACCCCAATTATGAACTTATCAAAAATGCCATCTCCTACATCCCCTCCCCACAGCCACCACGCTAGAGATGGAACGTGCAGCCAACGCGCGTATCCCCTTCTTCCTTTTTTACTCTCAATGAGCCTGAGCAATTGCAGCTAAAAACCAAGAATGGGGTCCTGTTGTTGGGCATTTATCGTCCTTGTTTTCCAACCATTCTTTGGTTCGAATTCCTTCGCTTTGTTAGTTCTGGGCGAGCCTACCGACTACGTTTCGGCCGTTGGGGACCCTGGAATGAAAAACCCAAATGTCAGAGTTGGTCTGGAAGCTTGGAATTTCTGCAACGAAGTTGGATTTGAAGCTCCTAACATGGGCAGCCCCCGCCATGCCGATTGTGCTGATATTTACTGTTCTTCAACCGCTGGTACTTCCTCTTCCTCTTTACGTTGTTTGTTCATAATGATCAGCTTTTAAATGGTCTGTGAATCTTTGCCTTGCTTGCTTCCTTTAGCAATTAAGGTGGCTTCATTGCACACTAATACTGAAATCTGAAAACAATGGTTAAAATTAATTTTAAATTATTTCTGGAATGTCTTATATAGTTAATAAGCAAGCAGCAATGGGTAAACGAATATGCGTTGTAATGAGGAATGTATTATTGGGTTAACATTTTATTCCTGCTGTTTCTGTTAAGACTTGATAGGATACTTATCCACTAAGTGTTTGATTCCAGTGGCTAATCAACTTTACCAGTATAATATTGCTGAAGAAATCAAAGCCAATTTGACCATCGACTTGAATTATGTAATTGGTGCATACATGAATTTCTAATAATGGATATTGTTTCATCTCTAAGATCTAACATGTCGAACAACTTTCTTATAAACTATTTTCAAATGGGGATTTCACGGTTAAAATGCAACAGATCATTGACCTTAGTTATCATTTCCCCCGGCCCCTTACTTCAACATTCTTGTTGACTTGCTAAGTTTTGAAAATACATATCCTTTTCGAATATGAACATCTTACTGCCCTATTCTGATCATCAGCTCATCTGGGTGGTGGCCTTGTTAATAATGGCAGTCAATGCGGAGTTCTACACAAAGTGAATGGCACTGACAACAGCTTAGGAGCTGGTGATAAATTTCCTACAGCAGGCTTTGAGTCTTCTGCTGACCCTGACCTGTTTGCAAAGGAGAAAGAACTATATCTTGGCTCTTTATGTGAGGTACAGGAATCCCCAAATCCATGGCAATTTTGGATGATCATGGTTAAAAATGGAAACTTTGACAAAAATACTACTCCCTGTCCAGAGAATGGACAAAAAGTAAGTAAAATTGTGACGGACAGAAAATTTCCATGTTTTGGCGAGGGATGTATGAATCAACCAGTTGTTTACCATAACTACTCAATATTGGAATCCTTTGGAAGCCAGAAGGTTTATTTGACTGGAGAATTTAGTGGAACATATGACCTTGATGCCAACTTGGTTGAAGATGTGGGCAACAACTCCTTCTTTTCAGTCTCATGGAAGAAGAATATTAGCACAGGGAGTTGGATTTTTTCTCACAGGTTGTCAACATCAACTAAATATCCCTGGCTCATGTTATATCTACGTGCGGATGCAACCAAAGGATTTAATGGCGGCTACCACTATAATGGGTGTGGCATGTTGAAAAAGGTTTGTTGTCTGCATTTACTTGGAAAAATTGACACTTGTATACGAGTATTTTTTTAACCATGTTTGCTACTTATGTTATAATGTTCAGTCTTGGAAATGAAATATAGAAAATCGAATGCCTCTCATATTTTACCTTCCAAGAGATAGAAAAGCTTGTCATTTTCATTTATCCAAATTGCATCACTTTCTACCCATGGGGCTGTCTCTTCATTTTACTGCCAAAACTATCTGTTGATATGGCTTTATGTTTCAGAAACATGATTTGCTTGTCTTGCTTTTGCTCTTTCAGTTGCCTGAATCTCCAAATTTTGTGGTAAGGCTGACGCTTGACGTGAAACATGGAGGAGGACCCAACAGTCAATTTTATCTACTAGACATCGGAAGCTGTTGGAAAAACAATGGAGAGCCATGTGATGGTGATGTTCTGACAGATGTCACTAGATACAGTGAGATGATAATTAATCCAGCAACTACAAGCTGGTGCCGTCCTGATAACTTGGTTTCCTGCCCACCTTATCATATTAGTCCCACTGGTGAGATAATACACAGAAATGAGACAACTCGGTTTCCATATTCTGCATATCACCTATATTGCAGCCCTGGAAATGCCAAATATCTGGAGAAACCATATGATATTTGTGATCCGTACAGCAACCCACAATCACAGGAGTTGGTACAAATTATTCCACATTCTGAATGGGCTGTGCATGGCTATCCTAAAAAGCAAGGAGATGGATGGATTGGGGATGCAAGAACTTGGGAGCTTGATGTAGGTGCTCTCTCGAGCCGATTATACTTCTACCAGGTATTGTGTTATTTTTGTAGTGCATTATATGAAATCAGTTAAAAGAATTGCTTGTATGTCTCATTTCTGTCTAGTTCTCTCTTTAGTTGTGGGCTCCCATCATTGTGGATGGGATTTCTGCCTTGGTCGTTTTTCAATCTTGTAAGTTTTACAGAATAATAGTTTTAATTTGTTTTATGATACATTGTTATATAAATTGTCACCATGACGAGGATTTTAGTAAGGACTAGTGTTCTGAAAAGAGCTTTCGAAGTATGCCTGAAGGGAATCATCACATGATTGCACCAGGGTTTAGATAAAAGCGGTTACGACATTAATGCCGGTAGAATGTAGCTTGCATATTTCACTAAGTGCCAACATTTACTTTTAAAGTATCATTTTCAAGCATAAAACTTCTTATCCCACACGCTGCATCTTACCACTTCCTTTTTAAAATAAAATTACTTAAAGAGTAGAAGAATCAAACGGATATGAGTTTTGGTTGATAACATGCTTCTGGCTTGATGCTCTTCAATATCATTACTGTTCTTTGGTGTTTAGTTTGGATGGATGAAGAAAAAACTATGTTGCTGCTACGTTTTGCAGGATCCAGAAACAAAACCCGCGAGGCGTGTCTGGTCTTCGATCAATGTTGGCACGGAAATATATGTTAGCCGCGCAAGAGAGACTGCAGAATGGACTGTAAGTGATTTTGATGTGCTTGTTCCAGAATTTATGCTCAAAGCTGACAGCTCGAGCTCGAACTAACTTATGTACATGTTTGTAAGCGGAGATGGATCAAGGGTCCTCTAAAAATCAAATTCTTATAAAATTTAAATATTTTCTTTGTAGTTTCTATTAATAATATGCTTTCACTTCCTAGAATTTATATTTATAAATTCGTTTTTAACATAAAATCTTGCATCCATTAACTTATTAAGTGATTAATGTTTGATGTACAAAGTAGTGGGGGCTCGAAGAACTCCGTGGACAATAATATTTACTTGCATTTGAAAATATAGCGTCTTTTAGTTCCTTTCTCATTTTCAGAATATAATAAGAAAATTTATATAATTAATTAGTTAAAATGTAATGTGTTTAATTATTTATTGCCAGACATGGGTAGTCAAGATTAAGGCTGCTCCAACAGAAAAACCATCATAGTCAAATTTCAACGGCCATCATAGATTTAGACTAAAATTTATAAAAATTATTATCCAGCTTGAATTGCAATATGGTATTTCATTTACATATTCATATTTCTCTGGGGAAAACAAATAAGAACTGCTTGTACAAATCTTACAGATAGAAGAATTTGCTTCAATCTTAGTAACTATTCACATGAAGGGACCTTGTCCCTCAAGGTTTCACTGCTACCCAAATCTCCCTTTTGAATGAATTTGACAAATAACTTTGATTGTCCGAATCCTATGATTTAATGTCACATGCAACTGTGCATGAAACACGACACTATAAAAATCTAATAAAATTGATTTGGATTGATCTGTGTTCAAAATGGCTGCTGTAGATACATGAACATGTCCTGCAAAGGTGACAACTGCTCCACCTGGTACTGAACTTGACTTGCAAACGGATCATCTTGGAACCCGAAATCGACGCCATTGGGTTGACTCTGGACTTCTTTCTCCCACGTGACTTCAGGGGACAGCACCTGCCCCGACGAACTTGAATCCGTTTGCAATCTCGGGACGGAAACCGAAGCATCCGTTTGTAAGAGTTCATCATTCACCATCGACGACAAAGGTTGTTGTTGTTGTTGGGAAATTGATGTTATATTTTGACCGTGCATTAAGATGTTGGGTTTCTGGTCTTCCATTTCAGGGTAACTCGACAGTTTTTGTTCACTTGGGAAATGCTTCTCAATGCTTCCTTTATTGTTGTATATCCGACATAGTACCCAATCATCAAGCTGCAATAAGAAACAAGCAAACCAATGAGCTAAGAATTCAAATGAAGATATTCGAAGTTGTGGGCTGGTCAAGTTGGCAACTTTCATGTGAAAAAGGGTTGATTTAACCCATGAAACAAAAGTACGGTAAAAAGTGGGAATGATGAAAGAATTTTACCCTCATGTTGTTGTTCTTTTTGCCGGCGGCGGCGGACCTGTCAACATTCGGGAGGCGGTATTCGTGCATGATCCAATTGGTTTTGACACCGCGTGGGGCTTTGCCGGCGTAGAAAACGAGCGACTTTTTTATGCCCAATGTTTTGGGCTTCCAATATCCCGTTCCGGCCGACATCCGTTTGGGTATTTTATGTCTCTCGGTGAGAACAAATACCACTCCTTTTCACCGTACAACGCCATATCTACACCAAAATATAAATCAAAATTATTTAACCAGTTACTCAAATTAACCCAAACAAAAAGAAGCCAAATTCAATTTGGAAAAAGCATTGTTCTTAATACTTGGAACTCAAATGATGAATCCACCAAAGAGTTGATGCATTTTCCCCAAATAACCAAAAACGAAATATAAATAAACTGAAATATAAATAAACTGATTTTTTAACGTCTGCAGACTGCTAAAATAAACTGAAATATAAATAAACTGATTTTTTAAACTTAAAAGAGTTTTGCAATACTGAAATTTAAATAATTTTAGTTTTACAAAACTGAAATTTAAATAATCCATACAACTACAATAATAATTTTTTTAAAAATAAATCAATCCATATTTTGCATTAATTGCTCAACAATTTCATCTCGTAGTTGAGTCATATATTTTCGATCTGCTATAGAACCATGTTTTTAGGCGAGGGTTTTTGTTTTTAATGTTCTTTGAAGTGGTTGGAAGAGTTTTGAAGACACAATGCCATGTCTGTGCCAAGAAGAGGACGCGTAGACGTTTTCAGAGCTACTGTCTTCTAAAAAACAAACGGTCTGCGATGCCCAATGTCTGCGCGGAGTAGACATAAGAGCTTTGAAGACATTTTTTTAGAAAAACAAACACCACCTAAGTGTTTAGAAGCGATTTCAGTTAATGGATAGAAAAAATGAGTGACTTTCATTCTTAGAGGAAGTGTTTAGAAGGATTTTGGTTAGTAGATAGCAAATGTGAGTGACTTTCATTCTTAAAGGATGAACATGTTCAAGGGTAAATGAAGGTGTAGCTTAGAGTAATTTTTTTAGCTTGAACTCTAAGATAAGTGAACTTAAATTTATGCCTATGATTGATATAGAATGTGATATGAAATGTGAATATTGACTTGTGTATTGAATATGTGTTGCAAGTGATGCATAATGGTTTTTAAAGTGTATCTTGTAAAATGTATATATATATATATGAATGTGTTGAGGATGAGTGGAACAACTTCACTCTCCATGGATGAGTGAGGAACTTGTTGCCCATAAGAGATTGATCATGAAAACCATTTTCGATAAGTGGTTTAAAGTGTATTTTGAAAGTGTATATGTGTATGATCTATGCATCATTTGATAAATGCTCTTGTGAACTTGGATTAAATTGTTATTTATTCTTAATGGGACCTTTGGTTATGAAAGACATGCCTAGGAAATAATACTCTATGGTTTCTATATATGTGTGAACAAAGGGTTATACAGGGTAATGTTGGTGAGTTGAGTAATGCCCTATAAAGATTACGGGGTAAGGTTCGTTCATTGAGTTTACACTGAAAGTCATGTTTTTGGACCTAGGTGAGTCCATAAATAAAGGAGATTTATATGAAGTCTATTTATCTAATGAGTGAATTGTGTTTTAAACAAAAGGTGTTAGGTATGGCTCATAAATATACCAGTAAAGAGGACAGGAGATGTGGGTTGGGGGTGCGGGGGCGCAGGCCCCGCGGTACGGTACAAGGTTGATTTTGTAATTATGTACCAGGGTTTTCTATTATAAATAGAGATGTAACCTAGACCTAAAATATCATTGAATAAAACTTCTAGCGCCGCCTAGGCACCGAGGACGTAAGCACATTGCCGAACCTCGTAAAATTCTCGTGTTCTTTCGTTTTCTTTACCCGTTTTCGTCAACAATTGGTATCAGAGGTCAGGAGCAAAATTCGAAGTCGCGAAATTTGATGGTCAGGGTAACTTCGGATTATGGCAAACGAGAGTGAAGGATCTATTGGCGCAGCAAGGGATCTTGAAGGCTTTGCGACCTACAAAGCCGGCGTCGATGGATGAGGAAGATTGGGAAGAATTGCAGCAGCGAGCGGCAGGAACCATACGATTATGCTTGGCGGACGAGGTCATGTATCACGTCATGCATCTATCGTCTCCAGACGAAATTTGGAGGAAGTTGGAAAGTCAGTTTATGTCCAAATCCTTAACGACAAAACTGTATCTGAAGCAGCGGCTGTATGGGCTGAAGATGCAGGACGATCACGATTTGGCGCAACACGTGAATGTCTTCAATCAAATCGTTTCTGATCTGGCTCGGCTTGATGTGAAAATTGAGGATGAAGACAGAGCGATGATTCTGTTGTGTTCGTTGCCTTCCTCTTACGAACACATGGTGACTACTCTTACATATGGGAAAGAGACTATCAACGTTGAGGAGATTACTGCAGCCTTGTTGGCTCACAACCAGCGGAAGCAGAATGCAGGGGAAAGCTCTCAAGCCGATAGCTTATATGTCAAGGGTAATCGAGATCGTGGACGGAAGCCAGAGAAGGCAGGGTTCGGGAAGCGGAATTCCAGATCCAAATCCAGGGATAAGAAGACGATTCACTGTTACAAGTGCAAGGAGGCGGGACATATGAAGCGAGACTGTCCGAAGTTGAAAAAGCAGACCGATGAGAAGCATGATGGCTCATCCAAGTCTGTGAACGTGGTCGAGGATGATACTTCTGATTGCAGTGAGGGTGATATGCTTTCTATTTCAACGACACAATTGACGGATGCTTGGATTCTTGATTCTGGATGTTCTTATCACATCACGCCAAATAGGGAATGGTTTTCAACATACAGGCCGGTTAATTCTGGTTCGGTTTATTTGGGTGATGATCGATGTTGCAATATTGTTGGTATTGGTGATGTCAGAATTAAGATGCACGATGGCTCCGTTCGGACGTTGAGTGGTGTTCGACATATCCCAGACTTGAAGAAGAATTTGATTTCCTTGGGCACTTTGCACAAGAATGGTTTTATCCCTAAGGCTGACGAGGATAGGGAAACCATTCGGATTGTTAAAGGAGCATTGACTGTGATGAAAGGCAAGATGACTGCAGGGAATATCTACAGATTGTTAGGGAGTACCGTTGCAGGTGGAGTTCACTCTGTTGAGTCCTGTGATGATACGACAAAATTGTGGCATATGCGCCTTGCTCATCTTAGTGAACGTGGTATGGCAGAATTACACAAGAGAAACTTGTTGCATGGTGTCAAAAGCTGTAAGCTCGATTTTTGCAAGTATTGTGTTCTTGGTAAACAGACTAAAGTCCGTTTCAAGACTGCGAAGCACACAACTCAAGGGATTCTTGATTATGTGCATTTTGATGTATGGGGGCCTTCCACGACATCGTCTTTGGGTGGATCTAGGTACTATGTTACTTTTATTGATGATTTTTCACGGAAAGTTTGGGTGTATTTTTTGAAACAGAAATCTGAAGTTTTTGAGAAGTTCAAGCTGTGGAAAGCTGAGGTAGAAAACCAAACAGGACGAAAAATCAAGTGTTTGCGGTCTGATAATGGTACGGAGTACACAGATTCACAGTTCCTACAATTCTGTAAGGAGCATGGGATTCAGAGGCATTTTACAGTGCGCAAGACACCACAACAGAATGGTGTTGCGGAACGAATGAACAGGTCGTTGAATGAAAGAGCCAGATGTTTGCGGTTGAATGCGGGGCTTCCCAAACACTTCTGGGCTGAGGCTGTTAACATGGCGTTTTACCTTATCAACAGATCGCCAAGGGCATCGCTGGCTGGGAAAGTTGCAGAAGAGGTATGGACTGGTCATGATGTTAGTTTTGAT